ATATCTCAAAAATAAATACTCAAATTGCCATACCTGGAAATCCGGATGTTACATTCGGACGCAACAATTTCTTCGGGATTAGCAGTGTTCACATTGACCTCCTTCAACTCCTTGTCGAGAACATACTCTTTGTCCTCGTAGTGGGTGACCATGCGAATGTTTCAGATCCAATCGTTAAGGTTGGACCCATCGAATATCACCCTCCCACACAAGTTCATGAGTAAGATTGAGCCAGAAGGGGTCGAGCCAGAAGCGTTGTTGTTTTGAGTAGACATCTGAAATAGAAAAGGAACAGAGTTTAGATCATATAATAATCCCCAATTAAACACCCAAATGAGAAATTAGGGCTAGGACCCAACATGATTATTTACAATTCATAGGAGGGATGCCATAATCTAATTGCAAATAATATGAAGGTAGGTAAATGATGATTTATCAATTTCCACCATGAAAAACGAAAAAAATTAAGTTTTAAATGAATTGAAATTCCTAGATTCTTTTGAGATTCATTGACCTTTTCAATGACATTTTAAATCTCGATTATGCCCTTCAAGTTTGTGACTGGGATACCGAGGATCACAAACAAGGTGTGAATAACCATGCAAATGTACTTCGTACTCTCAATGTCATTTACCACCTAATCAATGTGTCGGTTAACCACACACGCTCCATTGATCTATGATAAACATCAAACTATCCTTTGCCACCTTTGTTAGTCCCAAATTAGTGTGTCAATTAACCACACACGCTCCACTAACGACTTGGCAAGGTGCAAAGTGTAATTTCATGGAATAGCATACATTTTCACATTTTTCCTAAAGTAACTAAGATTGGGAATTTATAAAAACACTTAGTTACTTTATATAATCATTATACTTATTAATGAGGAATTAATTGTCATATCCTACCCGTTCGGCTAACGGCCCTCCACCACGATCAAGGAAGCGGTGGGTGAGAGTGGACACCCATTAAACCACCATTTTATAGGCAGTAACCTTATACCCCCCCCCCCTTATAGATCGGCTTCGTGAATGAGGCCTACTAACGGTAAGACTAGCTTATCTTTTACATATATATAAGTATTAATCTTATAATATTATAATAGTATAATGGTTGAATTTTAAACTTGTAAAATTCTAGGATTTAAAATTTAAATATTTCAAAATTAAAACTATTAATCAAAAATTTAAATTCCAAAACTTGAGGGCAAATTTTGAAACTTTTCAAAACATCTTTTAGATCAAATTTGAAAAATAATTAATTAATCATATTATTAATCTTTATCACATAATTTGACATAATCTATTTTTTTGACAAGATAATTCAAATCAAAATACAAATAATCAATCTTTATCATATAAAACAAGTAATTATATTATTTATGATAATTATCTTTGAATTGCATTAGGATAATCAATACCTTATTGAAAAAATTGAATTTATCAGTAAAAAACGTTTTGGTGATTATCCCAATTCAATTTCAGTCAAAATCCCGAAAAATCAGCCACCAGATGACCCGACTCGCCGAGTCACTGATTGGACTCGTCGAGTTGCCCTGACTCGTCGAGTTCATCAGGTGACTTGACGAGTTCATCAGTCAGAGGCACAATTTTTTCAATTTTTCAGCTTTGAACAAATTAGCAATGCATCAAATACAAAAGAAAAATGACCTAGGCTCTGATACCACTGTTGGGTTATGAGCAAAACATCAATCCTATGGTGCACATGCAAACGCTAAAGCTTTGGATCTAGTTTTTCTATTTGTACATGCAATAAATCATCCAAAGCTTACAACCCCTAATCTAGCATACAACAAAAATCGAAATCAACATAAATAACTAGTAAGAATGTTACCTTTCAATTGAAGCTTGAAGATCCTTGAGCTTTTAAGAACCTAGCACCTCAAATGCGATGCCTCTAATAGATCACATACACCAAAGCAATTGGAGAATGCAAGAGAGAGAGAGAGAGAGAGGAAGGCTAAATTTCGGCTCTTGGAATCCTTCTAGGGTTGTGGTCGTCGAATTTGTGAAGCCTATGGGTTCTATATATAGGTGAGTNTAGGGTTTCAGTCAAAACCCTAATTAGATTGCTTAGGCCTTAAGCAGTCCACATGATCCTTCCAGAAGGTCTCCTATGGACGATTTCTATGTGGGCTTCCCCATAGAATTCGTCCATCCCTTCTTTAGGGTTCATCAGCCCATATTGCATTTATCACATAATTACAATATCAGTCCCCTTAATTCAATTAATCTCTTTTGACCACAAAATTAATTCTAAATTAATTTTTGACCAATATTAATTAAATAATATGATTTTTCTTTTAATATATTATTCATATAATATATTAATAAACCATAATAACCTCTTTCTCCATTTTTCATCCAGTCAAATTGTTTTGATGAAGACAACCCAAAAGGACAATGCTACAACCGGGTCAAATACATACCAAATATAGTTATAAATTAGACACTTAATCCAACAAGGTATTTATTTAGAAAATAATGTATATATTGGCTCATTTGGTTTGGAGAATTACTTTTGTAAGTTTTCGTCATAATGATTACTTTTGTGAGTTCTTTTATACGTATGTAATTGTGATATTTTCTTAAATAAATATCATATCGTGATTGCATAATCGACATTAAAAAAGTGATTTTAAATAAATTATGTATTCTTTTTATAAAAACAAATAATAACTTGTTAAAAACATTAAAGACAGACAACTCAAATAAATCATCTAAACTTGTAAATGTCAAGAAACTTAGATAACTCAATCTAAATCATTGTGCGTTATACCGGTCTAACATATTTGATTATTTTCATCTAATTTTTTCAAACCCCCACAATATTATTTTGGTGGGTTAAACCTTATATATGTTCTGAAATTGTCTAATTTAAGGTTTTGATTCCATTAAACATAAAAAACCACAAATGCTAAGATCAACGACTAAATTAGATAAGAAGATTTTCAAAATTATATGGGTTCTGACACACTAAAAATATAATATAGTGTTTTTTAATGGTTGGATGGAAATATGTTAGGTATTTCTATGTGATTCGAGATCAACTTCACATCAGTGATGTCAAGAAAAGTTTTAAATTAGACTTTTAGATAAATATAGGGGTTTTATAGAACTAAAAACATAATATGTTTTTTTTAAGAAAAAAACTACATGAAATTTTAAAAAATGACAAAAAATTAATAATACAAGGCAAATTTGTCATATTACAAAATTAACAACTTTATTGTTAATTCTAGGGGTGAGCATCTAGACTGAACCGATCTGGTACCGAAACTGATTTAATAGAATTGAGTGCATTGGAATCGACCTGATTAGCCTACACCATTGTCGGTGTCAGGTTTTTGGTTGTTTACTCGGTTGGAACTAGACACAACTTGTTATGCAGTAAGGACAACTTGATGAATCCATGGTTTGATTTGTTCAGCTTTGATACTTTGTTTTTCAAGGCAGGCAACTCTATAAATATGTAACCAAACTTGGTGTTTATATAATTTAAAATAAAGTACAAACAGTAGACTAGATGTTGAAAAAAAACCTATGTTGTTCAAAATTCAAACGAAAGAGTTATGCAAATTTAAAATTACATGACAAATTATAACTCTATGCTAAAACAAAAATTATTTCAAATTTGATTCTTGTGTTTCAGGGCATGTAACTCAATTAAGGTGTAACCAAACAAGGTATTTATAATTTTATATAGTTTAAAATGAAGTAGAAACAACAATGTACATGTTGAAAAAAAAGTTCATATAATTCTAACTTAAAAAAAAAAATTACGCGTTAAAAAAAATGACAAAATATGACGTAATGTTAAAAAAGAAAAAAAAACAATTCAACTTTGATACATTTTGTTTTGGGCATGTAAGTCAATAAATATGCAGCAAAATAAGATATTTATATAGTCTAAAATGAAAAATAAACGGTTACTACATATTAAAAAAAAATTATAACATTCAGACTTCAAACGATTATGTAGGTTTTAAAATAAATTATTGATTGATCTCTATTATTTACCTAGAACCGGTGATATCGAGACGGAACCCATTAAGCCACATATAAATGATTAGGGTTGTAAACGAACTGAACGAATATGAACGGAGGCTTGTTCATGTTTATTCATTTAAGTTAGCTGAACAAATAAACGAACACGAACGGATAAACGAACGAGTTTTCTTGTTCATGTTCGTTCGTTTAACAAATTACATTGTTTATGTTCGTTCGTTTATGTTTGTGAACATGTTAAACGAACATAAATGAACAAAGATAAATAAACATAATTGAACCTATATGAACATATAATATAGTAATGTAATCAAACACAATTAAACATATATGAATATAAAATGAACTTATATAAACGAACGTTCATGAACATAATCAAACGAATGAGACCATTGTTCAAGTTCGTTCGTTTAACTAAACGAACGAGGATTTGTGTTCATGTTCATTCATTTATTAAATAAACGAATATAAACGAAATTCCCACCAAACAGTTCACGAACAGTTTGCTGAACGTCCAATTCAGTTCGTTTACAGCCTTATAAATAATCAATAACCCGCCCGTATTCTCAAAACAAGTCTCGATCGAATCCCCAACCAATCCATACACTCATCCCTAATTAGTTATAAAGACATCGGTTATCTCAATAAATCTAATAGTACCACCAATAATACGAATTTGGGCAACGGGATAAAATGTGTAAAATTTAGGATAATTTATGAAGGACATTTTGGTAATTGCACCATACGATTCCCACTGCTACACTGTTTCGTGCTTCAACAAACGATCAGTCAAAAAGTCAAAAATCCGTATTGCTTTTGGATAAAATCAAAAGAAATCGTCACATCACCCGCCTCCGTTTTCACTCTCTCTTCTACGTGCCACGATCTCATTCGTCAATCCCATCTCTTCAGGATTCCCAAGCACCCCACTCATGTTTTTCTCACAGCAAAACTCCAAAATTTGTGATCATTTCCCACTGAAAAGTGATCATTTTGGGGTTCCCCAAATGGTTCATCTTTTCGATACATTCAATTTGATCGATAAACCCTTCTCTCTTCCCTTTTTTTCAGTTTTCAGTTTCACCCTGTATTGTGGACCTCAATTCTGTATGCATGATGCTAGAGGAAGAAGTAGCAATGGCGGAGCCTTGTGCGAATAATGGTGGTGGTGGGTTTTCTTCTTCTCTTCAACTGCGTAATGGCGGAGGAGGATATTGCAGTGAAGAAGAACTCGCTGTACTTCCTCGCCACACTAAGGTCGTCGTCACCGGAAACAACCGTACAAAGTCTGTGCTCGTTGGCTTACAGGGTGTTGTGAAGAAGGCTGTGGGTCTCGGAGGGTGGCATTGGCTGGTATTTTCATTACCTCGTTAATTTCCCAACATTTAATTCATACAATCGATCCAATTTTGGGTTATTTCTAGCTCTAATTTATCGAGTATACAATGCAGTATTGTTAAATTAGGCTTTCTTTTATGCATTTACAATTGATGATTCTCTAATTGAATGATAGAACAAAATTCCCTGTTTGATCTGTCTGAGTAAATATCATTATCATTATCTCTTGATTTATGTTCATCATCGGATTGATTTACCGAAACCCATGTTTCATTTGAGCCATATCTTTCAACGGATTGTAGGTTCTAACGAATGGAATCGAGGTAAAACTGCAAAGAAATGCGTTGAGCGTGATTGAACCTCCTACTGGTAATGAGAACGACGACGACCTCGAGTTCGGAAATCTGCAGTGGAATGTCTCCGATCTTGGTTAGTTAATAGTTATGCTTTCTTAGCTTTATGTTCCCAATTTATTGGCGTTTATCTAGCAAATCAACAAGTTTTATTTACCTTACTAAATGATTTCGCTTCTTAATATTACATTTTACAGCCTTTGATGACGCCCGAAAGTCTCATAGATCAAGGCATCGTGCACATAAGTCAATAAGTTCGGCTCATAAGACCATCAATCGGTCTCTCTCGTGTGATTCCCAAATTAAGAGCCCTGTTACAACTCATGGGTCCTTGGTATGCAAACATTATCAAGCTTTCTAGGGCTAATTATGATTAATTGATTATGAAGGATTAGAAGGGTATTTATGTCATTGTTCAAACTTGTTCCACATTCTCAAGTGGGACAAATAATTACAATTTTTGTACATTAACACGAGTCAGAGTCTAATGCAAGTCAAATGCAGTACAACTTGTTCGGTGTTTAGGCTATTGTATAACTTTTTTATGTGGGTATGTATTGTTTCTAGAAGGTTGATCTTGGGAAACTAGAGATGGGGGCATTAAGGAGATACTGGCAACACTTCAACCTTGTAAGTATATTGTATATTTATATCAAAAGTGTTTTATAAAAAATGGTTTCATGTAAAACATTGTTGTTTTTCAGATGGATGCAAGTCCAAATTTATCAAAGGATCAGCTTGTTGATGTGGTTCAAAGGCATTTCATGTCACAGGTACACACACACTTTGTTTCATTCCTTTAGGTTGTGTTTGTTGGATTGAACTGGATTAGACTGGACTAAACTTTTTTTTTTTTAATTCTTTCTATGATGATGTTTGGATGAGGTGGATATTCTAACATCAATTTTTGTTGTAGAAATTAGATGAGTTGCAGGTGATTGTGGGGTTTGCACAAGCTTCAAGGAAGCTGAAGATGATGTGTGAATGATTGAGAATGTTTGGAAAATTGGTAGTTGGGTTTACTAACGGATATGAGATACTTGTAAAGTTAATTGTAAGATGGTTTATTTGGAGGAGGGTTAACTTAGATTAGGACTTTAGGTAGCTTGATGTCGTATAGCTCTATTGTAGCAGTTGTAAATATATGTAGTAACTCTTTAAAATATTGACTAGATGAGACCACTATTTCTAATGTATTTGGATGGTTAATCTCTACGGGTATTCAAAAATATCCAAATTCCAAGTATCTAAAATTTCAAATATTAATTTAGTTATTAATTTGGAAGATTTAGCCAAGACAGAAGACAAATTTAAATTTAGCTTTAGGATATTTGGTAGATATTGGGTGTGTTCGGCACAGAGCGTTAAGAAGCTTTTGAGAGCTTCTAGCGTTTGACAAAACGTACCGTTTTGAATAGAAAGTTTTGTTTGGTACTATAAGATTCTAGCGTTTAGTTTAAACAAAACGCTTCAAATCCAAATGCTACTTCATGTAGCCTTTAACAAAACGCTATAAGATACCCGTTGCCAACTACTTTTGCCGAACATGCCCATTGGTAACTTAAATGAAATGATTATGTAACATTGTTTTTGGTTTTCAGTAAAAAAATTTAGAATGTATGATTAGTTAATCTTGATTTGAGTTTTCATTTTATTTTAAAATATTAAAAAATGTGTTTGAATGTATATTTTCTTTCCGTTTTTATTATTACTTGTTTCTATTTTTTTACTTTTATAGTTATAAATAAAGTCCAAATTTTTTTATTTTACAAATTCGTTTCAATTTTATTTTTTATAAGTTTATCTTTATATATCTTATATCTTATACTATATTATAAAACATATTAGTAATATTTTGAATTTTAAGAGGTATAAATTACAAAACTTTTTATACAAATCAGTTATGCATAAATAGATGATTAATACTTACCAAAGTTTGAAGAGTTGAATTAAGGTAGGCTATTAGGAATTTCAATTTGAAGCAAAATGACAATTTTAAAATATTAAATTTATATATATAAATTAATTTATATCAATAGTATGAACAAGCAATATAAATATTAGATCTAAACATAAATAGTTTATTTCAAAGTGGTAATTGTTTATTACATAATAACTAATAATAAAATCTAATAAGTATTTCCTCATGAGAAACTATTCGCTAAAAGAACTATTTATTTTTGCCGCTTTGCGCGAGCACACATCTAGTATATATATATATATATATATATATATATATATATATATATATATATATACACTGACTTTTTACACACCTCTAGGACTTTTTATAAACTTTTTTATACAACTTTTTAATTTTTTACAACATTTTTTAAAATCATTTTATAGACTTTTTCTTTAACATAATATAATATAAGAGATGAAAAGTAGCGTTGTGGCCGCACATTTGGGTGCATAGCCAAGTTTAGAACACAGGACCTGAAGTTTGCATCTACAAAGTGTTACCAATCCAACAAATACGATACTTATGCTTCTTTTATGCGGATTTATTTATAATATACATATAAAAATATATACTTTTAAGTATTTACCAAACATCAGTTTGGTTGGGTATTTCTCGGTCTTGTTTTTTTTTTTCAAAAACTTAAAATTTTGGTTTTCCAAAAAAGAAGCAAAACCATCTCTTTTATTTATTTATTTATTTTTATTCTTTTTTCTAGTATTTTGATTTTCGGTTCAATTTTGCTCACCTCTATCCACCAACCCCCAACAACCTACCCTCATATCCACGACATCCCCACCCATTCACCACCCGAGCACAACCACTCCCAACAATCTCAATCCCGCCCCACCACACCCACACCCACTCCTAAATTCATGCTTTTACAACCCCATCCCACCAAAAAAACACCTACACCCATACTCACAAACACACTAACCCCCCATTCCCACCCAACTCCAATCCAACAACATACACCCATCACACCTAACAACTTTACGCATACCCTTGTGTATTCATACTCGTACCCATCTAATCTATCTATACCCACCTAAACACACTCGCTTTAAATTTTATTAAAAATATGGTCCAAACTTTCTCATTTTGCAAATCTACCCCAAATTAGTTTTTTTTCTTTTTTTCTTTTTTTACAAATTACTTTGTATAACCTTCAGATTTTACAACCGTTTTAAGACTTTTTATAAACCTTTTCACGAATGAATCCACGAAGAAAAAGTTGTGTAAATGATTATCTTGATAAAATTGCTTTGTGGAAAAAAAAGGGTCAGATTGATTAAAAGCATTCTGTTAACCAATTGGTTTTTTCCTATATTTGAAGTATTTTTATATATATTTACAATTTTTTTACACTTTCATATATATATATATATATATATATATATATATATATATAATTTTACAATTTCTTTAAACTTACTTAAACAAAGTATTTCTAAATGTAATAACAGGTGTAGTAACAGAAGTATTTCAACCAAATTCAAAGTGGTGGGATGAGTAAAAGTATAGGGGTATGATGGGTATAGGTGTAGATAGGTGTGTGTGCGTATGGGTAGGTGTGAGGGGTGGGTGAGTGTCTCTAGGTAGGACGAAAGGTAGGTAGGTAGGAGTTAGTCGGTAGGGTTGTATGGGTGGTTTGGTGGGTATGGATAGATGTGGGTGGGTATGTATGAATGGATTAGGGTTGGGGTAGTGACGGAGGGTATGTATGAGATGGGTGGGGATGGTGGTGGGTGCGGGTAGTAGGTATAGTAGTGGGTTGTACGGGTGGGTGAGGGTGGTTAGGTAGGGGTGGATTGTTGTCGGGTAGGGACGAAGGTGTATGTACACGTGGGGTGGAAAGAGGGAGGCAAAGGATGGGGTTAGGTTTGGGGTAGGGGTGGGGATGGTGGAAGGTGACATGTTTAGTTAAAACTAAGTAAGTTTTTTATTTTCTATTTTAGAAAATTTGTAAACATGTTAGGACATAGTTTTTTGGTTTTCCTTTTCTAGTTATTGTTATTTCAAATAATATTATATTTAATATTTTTAAACATATTTGAGCACCCACACCCACACCATCACCCCCACACACCTACCTATATCCCCACTCAACCCCCACCCACCTTACTTACCATTAACCACATGCTTCCACATACATACACTTATTTTCATTCCCACCCAACCCCATGTCACACCCCCCGGCTGTAACGTCCCAAAAATAATGACATAAATTTTCGTTTTTAGATTAATAAATCATTAATACATATCATTTCCATAAAACTAAGGTAGTCAAGATTTAGCAAAACATCATTAACTCAGAGTACAAAATGTGGAAACATGTGGTGTGTGCCCTGCAATCATCCCGAGCTCTTCCATTTGAAAACTGAAGCACCTGAAACATAAACTGAAAATCGTAAGCACAAAGCTTAGTGAGTTCCCCAAGATGCCACATACCACACATACATAAATCAAATACTGGGCCCCCGCCCTCCATTGGGCCTCGCTCGGTCTCGAGTCCCACTTGGCCTCAGGCTCCGCTCGGATTACAGATCTGTCAATCACCATGCCCCGCCTGACATTGGGCCCCGCCCGATATACACATAATCATATAACCATATAATCATATGAACATATAACCTTACTAGCTCATGCAATAATCACAAAGACTATAGCATACCATACGGTCATCGAGCCCCGTTCGACATCAGGCCTCACCCGGTAAGCATAAAAACAGATACTAATAACTAGCATACAATATACTCATCAGGCCTCGTCTGGCATCGGGCCTTGCCCGGTAAACATACCATCTCATAACACATGCAAGAGTTACGCAGACATCTAGCATTCTAACATAAAAACCATGGGACGGTATTGGTGCCTTCGACCCGCTAAACCCAGTGAGGAGACTCACCTCACACTGCCGAAACATACAGAAAATCCCTGGCTGCTTGCTGACAGATCCCCAAACTATCAATATCAAAACAACACCCAATCAACATTTGGGTCCCAATCCATATCCATAAATCCTTACCTGGGGTAAAAATACCATTTTACCCCTAACCTAGCTTGGTCCAAGACTAAGGCCCAAACTCACAATCTGAAAAGGCCCAAAAGCCAAATAATCAACCAAGGCCCACTTATGGCCCAATTTTCCAAATTGGACCCAAACCCCTTCATGGGCCTTACCCTAAAGCCCAACAATTTTCCTAGTCCAAACTCTTAGCCCAAAAGCTTGATTCCAGGTGGCCCAATAAGGCCCATAGCAACAAAGTCCAAAGAAATGACCCAACCGAGGCTCAAAGCTGCAAAGCCCAACATGATGAGTACGCGGGGCGTACTCAGCTGTATGCTAAGCGTACACGCAACTTGGGTTGTACGTCACGCGTACAGACTTATACGCCCAACGTACTCCACTATTAAGCCAAAATCAACCTTAAGCTCTTAATGCTTAAGACCATAAGCCCAAACCATAGATCCAAGTCCTAATAAGCGTTGATAACCATAAAGTCACTGACTTGGTGACTTTGTGTCACAACTAGCATTTTAACTAGGAGATTCTATTCTCATGTAATCATTCAACTATTGTAAAGCATGTACCCTAAGTGAATATCACTCAATGCCCATTCAAATACATCTCTCATGTTCAACTAAGGGTTGGAAACCCTAGAAATCCTGGTTCAAATTTATTATGGACTAGGATCCTCTTATTGGACCTTTTGGGCCAATAAATCTTCAATTAGACTATTTTGGGCTTAGAAACCTTAATTGGATTCTAAATGGACCCAATTCATAAATCTATAACATTTTGGACCATTTGGGTCTAGGATGATTCATCCTAACCCTAATGGGCCTTATTGGGCCATAAATGAATTAATTAGCCCTAATGGGCCATAAACCCATTCCTTTATACTATATTGGGCCGTGAACCACCTTAAGAGCCCAATGGGCCGAAAAATATTATTAAGCTTCATAAATTCGAGCAAGCCAAGAAAAAGGAGCCCAAAACCATCTCATCCTCCGTCCTCTTAGCCCATTCTCGGCCCATATAGTTATTTAAACAAAAAAAAAAGAGGGATTATCCTCCCTTGACACCTCATTGTTGCATGGTGGATTTCCATGCAACATCAACTCAAATCTCTCTCCTCTTCCCCCTTCTTCTACTCACGTCCGAGACACCCACCACCCACCTCCATTTTCTTATTTCAAGCTACTTCAAAACACTCT